GTAATATGTAAAAATAGAAGATAAAAACCAGAAAAAAAGAAACTTTTAAGCAATAAAAGTGTAAATTAGAAATTCTTCGTATACGGGTCGATTAACTGTCGGTGCTGCTACAGCTGCTGATGCTGATGCTATTACTGCCGATGATTCAGTGAATGTATGATGACGTCACAAATGCCAAAAATTAACTAAAGCACAACAGCAGCAAAGACAAATAACAACCAATTAAAAACTGTGACGTAATTGTTGATCGATACAGTGAGCTTATGGAAATGCTTCAAAAAAAAAAAAAAATTGGAAAATAAAACAAAAAAAAAAAAGTATGGTGACTACAATAGTTGCTTAGATTACTGTTTTTAAATGACTCATCGACTTCATATACCGGCTTCTGAAGATGTTCTTCAGATTCTATTTGTAGACTCATTGTTAACTGAAAAAAAGAAAAGAAGCAAAAAATTTGATAAAAGCAGTGATATGCATTGTTTCAGTCTCAATCTTTTTTTTTTTTATTACAACTAAATTTTATTTACAAAAGTTAATTAAACAATTTTTTTTTACTACTAATTTTATTTTTCTTAAACTTTTGGTTTATTTTATTTTATCTGATAGAATAATTTTAAAAAAATTTCTTATTGCATTACCAATATGGGGAGTTATTACGTCATCATTAACACAACATTTCAGATATGTCTGTGACAGTTCAAGCTTACTGTTGCTTTCTTATACAAATTGGTTTTATTTTATTTTATTTTATTTCTTTTGAACGAACAAAAATGGCTTCTGTAAAAAAAATTAAGTCTCGCATTACAGCATAAATAATCCGGTTTTCCCAAAGGCAAAACGTTGAACACCTTATAAGTAATACAAATGTACCCGAAAAATAGCACATGCACACAATGAGTATTAAAGGAACGGCATACAGATGGCTACATCGAAATCGGGTTTCCTCATCCCCCTCCCCATTTTTCAAATATTTTAGTTTATTCCATGATCACCTTCATTTTGGTTTACAAAATTACAGCAGTCTGGTAACCTTGTTTAAGCCGTTCTCCTATTTTTCATCATCAGAAATGTCACCTCATTATCAGTGACCCTAAGTCTTCCGTTCTTCAACTGATCTCAATCTATTAATTTTTATTCAGCTAGCGCTTACAGTGCCACATTTTGAACAATTGTAAAAATCTTTTTGTTCAATTATCTTCAACGAGAAAAGAGAAATTTCTTATACTTAATATTACTAATGCCGTATGTGTGATTTAAAGTTGTTTTTGCTAAAATTTTTAAGTCGTATAGTAATTGACAACGTTGTAAAATTTTTTATCTTAGATAATAGTTCGTTTACCGTCTCGTTAAACCCTGTAAAACAGTTTAACCTGTATCTAACATTTAAAACTTATTATAAATTTCAAAGCAATGTTCCAATACAGTTTTCTGATTCTCGTGTACTGCACTTACATGGTAGAAGCATTTTTCGGTTGTGACTGCACACCGGTGGCACCACAAAATCCTTCCCCGAGTGCATTACCGCCTTCACCTCCACCAGCGCCTCCACAATGTCCACCAGCGCCACCTCCACCGCCATGCCAACCAGCGCCTCCACAATGTCCACCACCTAATCCACCTCCTCCGCCTCCACCACCTCCAGCATGTCAAGTACCACCACCACCACCACCATCACATTTCCGACCAGTATAAAATATTTTAATTATATTTTATTCATTTTAAGTATAAATAATTTTTTCTCAGACTTTTCTCCTCTTAAGTATAGCACTATAAACAGTGAACAGCAGAATAAATTACATAAAATTCAAGCAAATCTGATTTTCTAAACTATTCGTCTAAACTGACACTTTTTAGCTGAGACCTCTTTTACCTCCACTACCACCACCACGACCACCACTACTACCACCGCTGCCAGAGAATGACTGTTGTTGTGAATGCCATAATCCATGCGAATACAAAGTTCAGAGACGTCTGCATGGGGCAAAGATATTCTCAAATGACTCAGGCGAAGTTCAGGAAGATCCAAAATGCAATAATCTGGAGTTGAAAAAAATTATGACAGAGGTAAAATAATGCATATCAGTTAATTCATTTTTTATACATATGTATTGAGAAGTAAAGAGAAATTTTTTTTAAGCATATTAAAAAAATAATTCTTTTTTTCACTTCAAAAAATGTTAGATATTTTTATTTATATGTTTTTATTTTGTTTCTAAATTACCCTCTTTTTAGTGTACAACATATCTGTCTGATAAACATTGATTCATCTTATTATAACAAAAAAGAAAAAAATTTTTCTTTTTTTTCTTATTCTTGCTGCTTTTGAATTTAATAAAGTCTGTTTCTAATAGCAGCATTAGGCAACTGTAAACAGTAAACAGTTGACGTTAGTAAATAACTTTGATTAAATTATAGTATTAATGCTTTATTTTCTTCTTTAGTTAGCTTTTTTTGTTGTCGCTTGTGTAAACCAGAGGAATTAGAGAAACAAGAGAAGACAAAGATATCTCCTTATTGTTTTCTAATTAATGATATCTAAATTGCTGTTTTTGCTTTTGTTTATCAAGCAAATTGCATTATTAAATGTGTTAAAAATTTACAGAGTGCTACCGAAGATCCAACATCAGCAAAACGAGCCATACAGTCAGCAGCTGAGGAAAAGCTTAAGGAACGTTACAATGTTATATGCGCTAAAGGCGATTTCTCCTATGTTGCCTATACAGATAGCTATTGTCAAGCGGTTACCGATCATGTTACCTGTTATGCGTTTAAAGTAATGATGGTATAAGCTGACGGGTTTTTTTTTTCTCTTTTTTAGAGGATACACCTCTCAGTTGTTTTGTATCTAAATCTTCAAAAAAAAAAGTTGATACTTTAACTGTTTTTCGTCGCTGTATTATTAAACTGTTGTTGGAATATTGAAAAAAATAGTAAAAAAAAGAATATAGACAAAAAATTAAAGAAAAAAAAGGGTTGAGATGCATTTATCTGACTAATACTTTACAGATAACTGTAAATGTTGTTTATGTAATTGTATATGTTAAAAATGAAAAAAAAAATCTTTAAAAAAAAGCCCAGTGTACCCTGTTGATGAAAGTGCAAAACTACAAAAACTGGTGAAAGGAAACGAATGTAACGAACGCTGTTTGTTGTACCAAATCTTTGGCCAGTTACCTATACCGTTCTTTGACTGGTAAATCTTAAAAAACAGATGTCGACCAGTTTGTCGACAACAACAATTAAACTGTTGAACATACAGATCTCAGAAATTTGTTCCCTGATTATACTCCGTTAAATAAGCCTACTGAAAAAATTTTAAAAAAAAAAAAAAAACTACCAATTCATAACTGAGATGGCAACAGCATTTGTTTGGGAAAGCAGTTTTACAGCTGTTCAATAAGTACTGCGAAATTGTTGTAGGAATAAGTAAGAATGAAAAAAAAAATTTTTTTTTTGATTTTATTGGTACTTTTAAAGATAAAAAAGAAAGAATTTACGTAAAGAAAAATTTTGTGTTTATATGATAGAATAAAAAAGATTTTTAACAAGTATTTAAGCAAAAAGTTGTTTTATGCGTTTATATATGCCTTTGAGTTGGAACGTTGATGACAATGACTTAAGTTGTTGGTTGATGGAACACCCCAAAATAACACTGATCAACTAGCAACAACAAAGGAAACAGAAATTATATAAATATATAAATATATACAACAGTATATTTATCGTTTTTGGTTCAAAAAAGAAAAAAAATTCCTCTTTTTTTCTTTTAACATAATTTCGGTATAAAAACAGACTTTTAATAGCTTTTGACGCTAAATATATAAGTCTTTAATAAGTTTGGAATTAGCGTTATGTAATCGGTAATGTGTGTTTGTTCGTGTACAAAAATGTAAATGTGGTGGATATGCGGTGTCTGTGGGAGAACCGATCATTCAGCAGCCTAACAGATTGCGCCAAGGCCAAAACCAGTGAAACTAAGAACACTGTTGGTTTATTTGTTAGACAGATTCTGAAATTGTGCAAAGAATATTTTCTTATTTTTTTTTTGTTTTTTTTTTTTTTTTTTTTTTTTT